GGGGGGGAGAGGGCGGGATGGAAGTGGAGATGGCGGGATGGAGGTGGAGATCGTGGGGTGGAGGTGGAGATGGTGGAGATGGAGGTGGAGAAGGTGGGATGGAGATGGTGGGATAGACGTGGAGATGGAGATGGTGGAGTTGGAGATGGTGGGATGGAGGTAGAGATGGTGGAGATGGACATAGAGATGGTGGAGGTGGAGATGGTGGGATGGAGGTGGAGATGGGAGGAAGACGAAGGTGTGAAAATAGAGGTGGGGGTGGGATGGAGATGAAGGTGGCATGGGGGTGGAGGTGACGATGGTGGTGGAGGTGGAGTTAGGAGGAAGGTGAAGGTGTGAAGATGGAGGTGGAGGTGGAACAGAGGTGGAGATGGAGGTGGGATGGAGCTAGAGATGGAGATACGGAGATGGGACAGAGGCCGGGCAGCGCGGTTTGACCCCAGGGGTGGCCTGGAGGATGAAGAAGACCTCGGTGGAGCCGGACCTTCATTTTTTTTCCCCGTTTCCCATCTTTTTGGTTCAGAACGAGAGCAACAAAGCCAACTTTGAGAAGATGATCGAAGCTTTGAAGGCCAGCAAGGGCGGGAAACGCATCGGCGTCTTCAGCAAGGACAAGTTCCCCGGTGACTTCATGAAGAGCTGGAACGATTGTCTCAGCAAGGAGGGCTTCGAGAAGGTCCGGAGAGGTCCCACCACCCTTAACGTCCCTTATGGGGCCACCTTGACGTCTCCAAAGTTGTCCTCAACGTTGTCCCTCACCAGGTGGACATCAGCGCCGTGGTGGCCTACACCATGGCGGCCAAAGAAGATGGCGAACTCAACTTGATGCGCAAGGCGGCCACCATCACCTCCGAGGTCTTCACCAAGTTCTTCAAAGAACGGGTGATGGAGATCGTTGACGCCGATGAGGTTGGGGAACGTCGATTTTGACTTCGGGAGGGGGTCGTAAAAGAGGAGGAGGAGGTCGGGTGATGTCATAACGATGTCATCCCCCCCAGAAAGTCCGACACAGTAAATTGGCCGAGTCGGTGGAGAAGGCCATCGAGGAGAAGAAGTACCTGGCGGGTGCCGACCCCTCGGCGGTGGAGATGTGTTACCCACCCATCATCCAGAGCGGGGGCAACTACAACCTCAAATTCAGCGTCGTCAGGTTTGGGGGGACCCCAGATTTGGGGACGGG